TCGTTCGCTGTGCGTGCGGTAGCGCGCCACGCCCACGCCCCTGCCGAGAGGCACTGGAAGGCGATACGGAAGATCCTCGCCTACCTCAAAGAGACGAGGGACCTCGGGATCACCTACAAACGGGGATCGGGGCTGGGGCTGGCGGTGTACGTGGACGCTAGCTACGCCGACGCTGAGGATAGACGTTCGGTGTCAGGGCTGGCAACAACGGTTGGAGGAACCGTCATCAGCCACGGTAGCAAGACGCAAGCTATCGTATCTTTGTCGTCTACGGAGGCAGAGTACATTGCTGCCGGAGAGGGTGTGAAAGAAGCTTTGTTTGTGCGTGCAGTGCTTTCGTTTATTGCCCCAGAGACCAGCGGCGGTAGCATTCAGGTCCTTGAGGACAATCAGGGGTGCCATGGCTTTGGTGCAGAACCCCCTTAGCTCAGCGCGTAGCAAGCACATCGACGTGCGGTACCACTTCATTCGTGGATTGTTTAGGTCGGGTGACATCTCGATCAAGTTTGTGTCGACGTCGGAGCAACATGCAGACATGCTCACCAAGGCTCTTAGCAAGAGCAACCTGCAGTACCACCGGAAAAAGCTGATGAATTTGCCGGAGCTTCTGTAGGATTTTCTAGCGCTTGGGGAAGGTCATGTATACCATGCGGGGAAAGATGCATTACTGTCGCGGGCTGTGTCCCAATGGCAGGAGTAGGAGGCTTGCCTCGCATTCTTGTCTTCGCCTTGGCCTTCCTGATAAGTGCGGCCGTTGTGATCCGCCGTGATAGCAATGGTTTGTGTTGGATGGGATTTATTTTCGAGGGGTTTTGCCCGGGCGCCGGGTTTCCCCTCGACCACCGTATTGGCATTTTATTGATGTATCCGGGGTGTTTTTGCCCCACTGATGGTTAGTCACTTGCGTGAAGAACCAGGGAGGGTGTTCGTGGGTCTACGGACATGGTTTGGATATGTTAGCCGTACGTACAAGTGTGACGCAGATGGTGTAGAACCTTTTAGGTAGGGGTACGGTGATGATGCACCGGGGCCCCCTTTTTGTTGTGTGCAGCAGCCCTGCTGCCACTCCTCCTCTCTGAGCACGACAGCGCCCTGGGTACGGGCGTTGCCTCACCGTCTGAAGTTAATACACTACACAAACAATACCCGATAAGTACGCGGAGTACGGCCGACAAACATTCTATTCTTCTTGAGGCAGACTTCTTTCAGCTTTTAAGAGAAAGAATCCCACTGCTGTAACATGCATGTAGCGCTTCAAGGAACCAATCGACTGTAGAAGTGTGTGGAACGTGCACGCACAGCACACAGCAGCGGGCACGAGGTGAGGCGACCAGCACATCAAGTATTCCTACCCACAGCTTTCCACACACCCAATGGGAAGCGAACACCGCCGTCTCACAGGTGGGGTACAAAAGCCTTGCTTACCCCCCCCGCAGCGGTATGTCGTCACACAAGACTTCAGTCGACACAGGACATGCTCAATTGTGTTGCTTCGCTGTAGGGCTACTGTATGACCCATCGTTTTAGCCCGAACGGCGTAGTAGCCCGAAGGGTTCCGTTCAGGTGGTAACAGCGCCGGTGGGGTAAACTATGGATGTGCTCTTGCGGGGGGGGGGGGGGGGAATTCCAATAACCCACCATGGAACCCCCACCCCTGCAAGGGTCCCAAGGGC